GAACGCCCAAGTTGAGACTCAGACATGATAGAAGTTGAAGTTCTTGCGATTAGATAACGGTGAGAAGTATATGTTACATGAGTTTCGCACATTTTGTTAAAACAAGGAGTTTATCCGACACTTCATCAATGTTTGAATTCATAGCAAAACGACGTGTCAAAGAATCTAAATCAAACGATGTTAAATAGACCACGGAGTATGTTGAACCATGCTGGTTTACCACAAATTTTTTGGGCTGAAGCCATAAATACTACGGCTTATTTAATAAATTTGTCTCCTTGTAGTGCAACAAGTTAGAAAACTACGTTTGAAATGTGGCATAAACAGAATGCTGATAACTCTTATCTTAAAGTGTTTAGATGTGATTCTTATGCACATGTTCACCGAGAAACAAGGACTAAGCTTGATTTTAAGGCTACCAAGTGTATTTTTCTTGATTATCAGGGTGATCTCAAGAAATATCAGCTTAGGTATCCTTTAGGCAAGAAACTTATTATAGTAAAAATGTTTCTTTCAATGAGTTCAATTCATCGAAAGAGTGGAAGATTGTTGATACTAGTACTAATGAAAGCTAGTTATCTTCCCCAAACATCATTGAGGGGAGGTATTTCATGAAATTTTTCATGATAAGCCGCAAGGAGTTGCTTTACAAAGAACATGCGAGGTAGAAGAGCAATAATTTGCTCCTAAAGAGATCCATGAGGAGCAACACATTGCTGGTGAGCCACCATCTTAATTGTAAGACCGGATATTGCATGTGTGAAATAAAACTAGAATTAGCCAAGGAGTTAATCATGGTTATGATAGTTATGACTAAATCTAGCTAGTTCTGACTAAGTCTAGCTAGTTTAGCTATAATGTGTATACTTGGCGGTATAACTAGAGAAAAACTAGAAGATTTGAGTGAACACTTCTATTTTGTCTTGTACAAAAGTCTAGATTCCAAGAGAAAAGACTTTTGGACTTCATGTTTAGTTTTGATTGGTTTCACTAAAGTAAGGAATAATTCATTGGTTAGACTAAATCTAATGTTCACTTAGTGGAAAGTGAAAGTTCTAGAAGTTGAAAAGGCACAAATGGCATGTCGCCACCTCAATCTAGGGATTAGTAAACATCTAGAAGGTTTAGGATGCCAATGGCATGTTGCCACATATTGATAACTAGTCAACCTTATTATGATTTATCTTTGTAAAAGTAGGTTAAAAAGGAATTACTATTTGTTACTATGGTAAATTCTCAAATAGTATATATAGAGAGGTAGGGAAGAGACTCTCAAGCAAGTTTGGAGAGTTCATATGTAGAGACTTGTTTCATATATAAAAGAGTGACGAATTTTCAGTACCTTGGAGTGTCAATGAGTGTATGAGTTGGAGTGATAGCTTGAGAGATTGTGTTAGAGGGTGTTTAGGTTATGAGTATGATGCGGAATCCTAGTCTTCTAGAATCATGATGAGCTACCGAAAAGCCATCTGACGTAAACATGAGTGAGAGTCAGCCCGGAGGTTGCAGAACCAGCAAATAGTGATCAACAGAAGTCTTCTCAATCTACAAGACCAACACGTGTTTGTTGTGCGCCCGAGAGGTATGATACTTGGTTTCCCGCTAAACATGTTGTTAAGAATGAGAATCTACTTGTTCATGGTTCTCGAGAAACGCTGATCATTGAGAATGGAAGTCAGTCCTCTTATACTGAATCTCAATCTGTCCTAGTGAAGCTTGATTGGAATGCAACAATGCGAAAGAAAACGAAATCACTTCAAAACAACCATACTTGGCAGCTCCTGAAGTTGTTCAATGAAAAACGAGCTATAGATTACAAGTGAGTCTTCGCCATGAAGTATGGATCTACTGATGTAGTTGAGAAAATCTTTAAGGCAAGATTAATGGCGAAGGGCTTTGAATAACGAAAGAGCATCGACTGCACTAAGGTTTTTTCACGAGTTGCTAAGTTTTCATCTAAATGCTTGTTGTGTGCACTTGTCACATTATTTGGTCTATTTCTCGAGTAGATGGATGTTGTTATAGCTTTTTTACATGGAGCGTTGGACAAAGTGATTTACATTTTAACCGAAAGATTCTTTGAAGAAAGTAAAGGAATGTTTGGTTTGTCGATTGCTTAAATCCTTGTATAGACTTAAGCAAAGTTACCTAAAATGAAAAAAACATTTTGATGAATTCATGTATACTCAATACTTCATACGAAGTGCCTATGATCCTTGTGCATATATGAATCGTGTTAGCAATACAAGTTTTGACTTCATATTACTTGTGTTGTATGTAGATGACATGCTTATTGTCGCTAAGGATAGGTCTGAAATTATTAATATCAAAGTTTAGGTCAATTTTGAATTCAATATAAATAATCTAGATACTTCTAAGTGTATTCTATGCATGACAATTCACGGAAATAAGTCATCAAACAAACTGATAGAGTAAAAGCGTGATTGAGTTTTACTTTCTAGAACTTCACGTAGATATACATGTGAATTGCGTTAGTTATGTCTCCAATACTTGAATCAATGGGGAGTTTGTTAGGTTAATTCTATCTTGGATCAACTCCAATTAGCAATAACCATGGTTAGAAAAATATAATGTGGTTAGATTAGCTAAGATATGCATCTTGTCTCTTCTTGTATAGAAGAAAAAAATAATCATTTCCTATTAACAGTTCATGATTGCACTTTGAGATTGAGATGAAGTAAGAGAGCTTGGCTATGGAAGCCGTGTATACATTTGTGTTTTAGTGAAGTTTCTATTCTTGCTTGTGGAAGATGAACCACATTATTTCGATGTTGTGACTGTTGTGCGTGGATTAATCTTGATTGTTAGACCTTTCATGATTGTATATATTATCTTTGTATTAGTAAAATCCATAATATTATATTAAAAGAATTTGCAATACATTCTTCTTTTTTTTAGCAAATACGTTGACTGATCCCATGAATAAAATTTGTTAATTTTGATAACAAACGCAAGGTTTGATATCATTGAAATTATTTTTAGATAGATATGATTATCTATTTATGAATTTGAAAGCTTATATATGTAAAATATTTGATCTTTTATTATGATTCAATTTATGAATAAATATTAAATGTATGTATGAAAAATAACATTAAATTTTTAGATTATTTCAATCATCAAATTGACATAATAAATTTTAACATCACTCTAAAATTTACTTATTGAAAAAATTGCAAGTTCTCTTTTTAATCAATAAATTAATTTGAAATTATTCAATTTCATGATTATGAGCTGTTTTTTCATATAAATTATTATTTTAAGATATATATATATATATATATATATATAATTCCAAAATATATGCATCAAGGTAACATGTTATAATATCATTCAAGTAAAATAAATTGAAATGCAATACATCATGTAGAAATTTCATATTATTTTACTATAAATTTTTTCAATATATACTTATTATTATTTAAATATGGAACTTTTTAAAATTAGATTAACTATTTGTTAAAAAATAATAATTTCACCAACAAAAAAGACAGTTATTCTTCATATTAGATTTATGAATGAATAAATTTATCTTCTGAAGTAGGAAAATTGATTTCTAATGTTTGCCTGATGTTTTTTATTTTCTAATGATGGATTTATTTATATTAATTTTTTAACAAATAAAATCAAAATCAAAATTTTAAAGAATTTAACAATAATATATAAATTAACTTGACCAAAATTCGTAAAATGGATATTTGTTATAAATTATTGAACTTAATTTTCAGAATTTATGTGAATAATAAAAAAAAATATTTACAAAATTATACAAGATGAAAATGGATGCAAAGCGAATTACATGAAAAACAATAAGTCAAAAGTGACTTGACTAGCTTTTCCAAAATTATTATTGAAATTGTCTTGGAGATTTTTAATAAGAAAACCGAAATAATTACTTCTAATGTAAAATTTTACATCAAAGGAGTATATGCTCACATTGACAAAAATTTTACAGAAATTTTTTTAATATGCTGCATTGAAACTCTAATTTTGCTTATGTTATTAATATTTTCTTCAATGTTATTTTTAAATGTATGATATCTTGTGATTATTTAAACAGAAGTCACGTTTTTCATTTTATATTGATATGTTTGATGTGGGATACAGATAGAAAATTTATTATTTTGCATATGTGGATCGATAGTAAAATTATACACAAAATTTGTGTTGTATTTCACATTGATCACTTCTAAGCTTTAAGTTTTTTACTAGTATTGTAATATTATAATGAATTGAATAGCTGATATTTGCATAAAATGTAATTATAATTTAAACATTTATGTGTAGAATTTCTTAGTTTTGATAAGTTTCGATCATATTTTTATTTAAGAAAAAAATATTTTCATCCACAACCTTCATTATTGAATAACCAATAAAAATTTTCTTCACGATTTAGTACCATTCCAGTAATATTATAATCTAACTTTGATTTTCTAAAATGATTTCAAAAGATAAATAAATATCAAGAATGTGATTTTAAATTTAATTGTAAAATCTTTAACATAGAATGAATTATTGATATATCAATACTGATTTAGGTTCAAAGCATGTTTGTGTATTTTATTTTGACTTTATATCATGCTATTATATTTTTTTAATATACATAATTTAATCACAAGAATTTGTGAAAAATTTAATTTTCAAAATATAATTTCTTTTTTACGTGAAATTTATACTAGAGTAAATTGTAATATATTGATTTTTTTAATATGAATGTAAAACCGTGATACATAAAACTATTTATTAACAAATTAAACTTTTTCGGTAGGCTTAAAGGCCTGAAGACAGTAAAACTCGGAGGGTTCAAGGATCATCGGCGGCTACCTACCATGGTACACAGTTCAGGACAGCACCGGCTGTTCGTACCTGGTTCAACGGATCTACCGTGCCGTCAACCGTCCAGAGTTCCACACAAGGTCCCCCCGTGTCCTGGGAGGGGAACGGAAGGACGAGGTCGAGGAGGAGGAGGACGGGCAATCGTGCATCAAAATCCTCGTTTCAAATGGCACATCTCGCTTTTGCGTCCCGCGCTTTCTCTTGCCCCCTCCCTGCTCTGGTGACCCACTTCCCGCGCACCCTGTTATTGTTCCTTCCCGCTCTTTCATCACCTCCTTGCGCTTCCCTCCTTCCCTCCCTCCCTCCCTCCCCCTAGAGCTGTCGACCTCCATGGGTACTTTTACCGATCTCGTCGCAGGTCCCTCTGCGTCTGGAGAAGTGAGGTTGAATTTGCAGACGACATTGAGCACTGAACCCCTCCTACTTTATCGTTCGAGATTTTGCTTCACTTGGAGCGATTGCTGGCTCGAAAGAACACTGCATTTTCATCCAAGTCCTCATTTTATTCGACGTCGCGGACGCGTTTCGTGAGACTCTGATCGATTGAGAATGTTCACCGCACTGGATCTCCGATAGTTATCTGAGAGTTGAGTTCGGATGCTGGATTTGTCGAGGAGCTGGAGCCTTTGTATCTCTTGTATGGGTAGCTGAATTCGCAAACTCCAGGCTTGAGTACTCTTTGTCCGTAAGTTGACGGCACAGTGATTTGCGGGCCATCGAAGTTTTCGTCTATCATCAGACTGACGCTTGAAAGGGATCTTGCAAAGTACCTGAGGGCTTCTGATATACCGGCGAGTTGGTGTCTGACGCGATTTCGACAGGTCGATGATGTCGCTATCCGACGCTGGACCCCGCTCTCTATTGTAGCCCTCTGACGGTCAGGCGTTCCGGATGACTGTACAGTCCAGCAAGATCGTCTCTCAAGTTTAGGATTTCTTGGACTTGCGAGCAAAAGCCCACACATTCGACCATGGATATGAAGCAGTTGCAAGTTAAGCTTGGTCTTCCTGAGAATCTGAAATTGACGAGAAAAGCTGAGGAATTGCAGAGACTTAGTCGAGTCCATTTCAACTCATCTGCATTCGGAGTGGTGAGTCTCGAAGTACGAGCTATGATGTTGTACTCGTTCCTGAAGAAGCACGTGAAGTCTAATATATGAGTCTTACCATTGAATCAGTCAATTACCTGAAACACGAGGCAAAATTGCGATCTTCTTCATTGGGTTCTAATTCCTCCTTGGTTCCCTCAGGGCGAGGTCTGCAAAGCTGTTCTCTGCTTCGAGCTGGCATGCATATCGTAAGTATTTCTGTGGGTTGTTTCTCTTACAATCATGGAACATAGCTTTCAATGAACAATGCTTCACAGCACTCTTTGATAACCAACGCTGCAGATTCATGTGTATTATCAATATTCAGGATTGGCAGAGAAGCGTAGATCCGAAACCCATTGCGGAACGTCGCACCGTCCTCGAGTTCAGTCGGACTGACTATGTAGCAACGGGGATGAAAATTTCGGTTCTCATAGACATTGTCTTCCCTTGCAGGTTACAAGTCGCCTTTGATCGTCAAAAAGCTATTCGATGTTGTGGTTTGTCCGAGAAGGCATACACTAGGTCTTCAATTGCCATGCAGAATGCCCTGAACCTTCGGTGAGTCTCTTACAGCTCTCGACTGAATACGCCGGTAAATAGTCTCCGATAATGTTCCTTTCGTTGTCACCGTTGAAAGTAACTGACTTAAGTCCCCACTATTTACAGGAAGAAGCTTGACGTCCGGGAGCTGGCGATTCAATTTGGCTGCGTTAGGCTGATCAAATCAGCACAAGATGTTTTGGTTCTGTAAGTTGCCACAGTACAGCTTGTTTCCTCCAAAGTTTTTGAAGTAATGGAGGACTACACAGGAGGATAGAAATGTATTGTGTTGTTGAGATCCAAACTTTCCTTATTTCGGCGTCTAAGCTGCCATCACTCTCATGTGCTTTCCACACAGCATGTAGGAATCAGAGTACCTTTAAAGTAAGCTCATGAATGTAGGCGTAGTAGATTGCTTATCGACGTCGTGTATCAGTGGCCGAACTGCACGTTATGTGCCCAATGTCTGCGTAGTTGTTGCTTAGCTCCCAAGTCCAATCTGTTTGGGAGTAGCACACGAGTTCTTTCCATGCATTACATTTTCTGATAAGCATAGACATGTGCTTCTCGCAGCTACCAGTCAAGATTCGTGGCTGCTTTACCTGCAGCACGTCGATCCAGCGCCGACTTTAATCGCCCCATTTTCACCGCCGTGGCATTTTACCTTTGTGCCAGGAAGAACAAGGTAATCTTTTTCATCCCTCGTGGGCTTTCGTACAACGGGTCAACCCTGGAGTGTTTATCAGAATATAGTGACAATTTGTCCACATATACATCACTGTGATTAATATGACTAGCTTGTGGTACTTGTCCCAGCTGAAGGTCGACAAGGCGAAACTGATTGACCTCTGCGGAACTTCCGACTCAGAATTCAGCAATGTAAGTGTGTTGAAGTCTTGTAGCAAGTGTACACGTTCCGAAATCCTAAGTTGATCTCTCAGGATATAAAGCACAATTTTCAATTGCCTCATCCACTCTCATCAGAATGGGTGTTCTCACTTTTGTACCTAATATCACGAGGTCTGTGTTGACAGGTTTCGGCTTCCATGCTGGACCTCTGCTTCGATACTCTTGGTACTCAAAAAGAGAAGAAAAGTACAAAACAATCTAAAGCGAGTAAAGGTAAGCTGTTGTGAGCTTTCGATAGATCCGATCTACGGTCATAGTCAAGGGGTTCGCAATCTCGGTAATTTTATCCTTACATGCTTACCCTCTTATCCTTGCTTAGGTCTGCTGGATGCTACATCAGGCAAAAGGAAGAGTCCTGGAGATGAGTCGGAGTCTGAAGGCGAGGAGATGGACAAAGAAAACATCGATGTGGTGAGCATCCTCACTCAAACGTGCTATGTTGGGTTCTGATGTTCAGGGCACTTTTAGGTCTGGAGTTGGCTTGTGGATGTATGCTGCTGAGTCTAGCTAAAGTTAGCTGCAGTTCAATATTATCGTGGTGACGACTTGTAGATGTACCAAGGCTAAGCTAGGTGATCTATCGTGTAGCTCACAAAATGTGGCATATGTCACAGGTTCCTGGTCTGAAAAGATCGAAGAAAAGTGTCCAGGATGCTGCTTATGAAGAGTGGAAAGCCGCTCTTCTAACTGCCCGAGCGGCTGTAAAGCGCTCTGTTTCAGGAATAGGTACACCTTCACTCCTCATCTCCTCTCTTGCTAGACCTGCATTGCTGCCCGTGGATGCTCGACTAGAGCTGTTGTAACCATCTTTGCTTCTCCTGTGCCCCTAACAGCCTTGTGTGATGTTGCCAGAGCCTCTGAAGCCAAAGACTGCGGGTTTGCAGACCTCAATTTGTAAATATGTCAGCGTCGCATCCCAAGAGTAAAAATACATGCACTTCTCAGTTCGAAGTGTCATCATTTAGATAGATAGGAATATGTGAAATCAGAGTATAGGTCGTGACAGTACTGTATGTGCTTGAACCTACCGTCTTGCGGGAGAGAAGCTAGTCTTCTGATTTTTAGAATGGCTGAAGCCAGGAAGATTGAGAAGCAGGTCCGCTATTGCCGCAAGTTGTGGACTTACCAAAAGTAAATGCTTCAATATAGCTTAAATATTGTACTCGTGAATCATGTTCCTAAAGCGGCACACAACTCAATTATAGGTTAGAACCTCTGTACTTACGGAGACATTAACATCCTGGGTAATTTCCCGGTAGAATATTGTCAAAGGAAAGAACCTTTCCTTCAAATTTATAATCACTTGCGCAAATTAGCGCTGTTTTATATAGTCACTCTTCACCAGCCACTTTCAAATGCTTGTTTTTTACGTGTGTATTTTAAGTGTGCGGCTTGCTTAGGTCTGCTGGATGCTTGTTTTTTACGTGTGAATTTTAAGTGTGCGGTTGGGTGGAAATAATGAAACATAGAGTGGGAAATTATTCGGAAGAGATCTTTTGTTAACTCTGGTCTGCGATCAAGACAAGCGTCGAGATGGAAGCTAACTTTGGAGAGGAACGGCTGACCAACGTAAATGACATGAAATTCTTGCCCTTCGAGACTCGTATGAAGTGGACATATTTACGTCACCAAAGCTTGATGATTTAAATCCAACAACGCTACCTAAACATGCAACAACCTTCGAGAATGGAGAGAAACTTTCAATTCATCAATAAGTGAGTGGAAATTGGCCTAACTCGCTGCACCCCTCAAAAGAAATGTGACATTAAAATGTTGCTCGTGTCAACTCCATGCTACCATCTCGACGAGACACCCGCCAACCTCGTTCTTGTAACAGAGTGGCATGAACACGTCGTACGATCGCGTTCGTATATCGAAAGAAAAAACATGACTTCAGTTTCTTCGTAGATACGGAAATGAGGACAAGCATGCTACTGCGCACAAGGAAGCGTCTCCACTATGTACTACTGACAGACAGTCGATAGGGTAGTTATTTTTAATCATTCCACGGTCCGAGCACTAAAAGTTTGTCAGCGGAAAGTGACGATCGGACACTCTGCCCAGCAGGGAGCTTATGCTTATTCCACTTGCTGGCAGATACTAAGCTGGAAAAAAGGTATGACATCAAAGCTTGGAATAATCACACTGCACATGACGGAGAAATTTGACGGTGTGTATGCAAGCAAGTGTCCTGATTTTATTATTTTTTTTCTCCTGGAAGACCGCGTTCTTATTAGTTCTTCAGTTGCATTCAGTCTGTACTGCCCAGTGAGACCAGGGCTTTCCTGGAAACTGGCACAAAACCATTTCCGCCTTCATACACCCATGGACTTCAATTATATTCAATACACCTCACGCTCAAACAGTTCCAAGACCTACCGCAAGTTTAAACACACGCTCGAACCAATTCGAGCGTCAATCAGTTCTCTCTACCCAATTCTCACGTCCTTGTAGCAAGTCTTACAACCGACGTCCTTGCTCTGTCCCGAAATGCTACCACTGCGGAGCCAGCGGAAGGCAGAGTCTCCGCTCCTTCCTGAGCTGAAGTCTCTTAGTCATCAGAAAGCTTCGATAAAGTATTGTTGAACGACCAGCTTTACCTTTCATGCTCCGTGGCCTCCTGTGGGCGAAATTCGAGCTTCGGGCTCTAAAATACTGACAGCTCAAACGACTCAACTCTCCTGAATGGTACGCAAATTATAACAAAATGTCTCACTTCTTACTGCGACCTGGCTCACAATTCAGAGAAGAAGAGCACAGCATAGACACAAGAGCATTCCTTGACACAAGAGCAAACTCCTTGAAACACCTGGTTCCAAACGACGACAACTCAAAGCTCCTGCATCGTACGCAATCTTGATACAAATTGAGCAGAGGCAGATCGCATAGTACGCTAGAGGCCAACAGGCGCAGCAGCGAAAAGCAGGATCAAAACCCGAAGCTCAAATCTCCTTTCAAAAGTACGATGCAGGCTCTGATTGATAGACTGATGGAGTGAATGGAGTGCAGGTCAATCAGGGCATCTCTCTGTCCATCCGAGAGGACGGACGACGAGAAAGAGCGAGCGAGCGAGGGGATCTGCAGAAGGACATGCGGAGGTACACATGGGTCCAAGGGGACTCTGGAACTGTCATGTGACTAGTGGCCGGATTCCTCCCCCGTGACTGTGTGCCGGACTATCCAACCCGCCGCGAGAAGGCGCCAGCTGGCACAGGCGGCAGTGAGCTCGAGTCAACGAGCCCGACGGAAGTACAGTTCAGTCGTTTGCGGCCACGCGCCTGCTCTTTAGGCCCCTGGAGCACGTCACTGCCGCAGTGCCCCATCATCTGGGCGATCTCCGCTTACATGTTATTTTCCCGCGACTGGAGAATTCCTTCTCGCTCCCATCATGAGCTCGGACAGTTCAATTCATCCGCTGCAGGTGCCCTTTTACTAGTCCTCTTTTTTACATATACATCCATCATGGAACAGAAGTAGAGTCTCTTGGCAGCATGACGACGATGATGACGGTAATTTTATTCCTTTAAAAAATAATCATTTGAAGCTTTTCCTTGGACTGAAATGTTTGGTCTATCTTCTCTAGCTAGGCCAAGGGGTGTATCAAAGGCGTCGCCCGTGCTGGTGGGTTGCCACACTGTGCCCACCCGGTGACCGGTTACAGACAAACGCCCGTCGATCGGGTGAAAGACCTGAAGGTAACATCTTCGGCAGATCAAGTAAGAGTAGACGACGTGAAGAATTCGATAGTGCTGTCGAAATTTTCTCATAAATAATCTGAACGCATTTTTAAGCGTCAAGGAGATGAATTATATTATTTCTAGAAAACTTAAGCTTTTCAAATTTTATCTTTTTTTGTATGTTTATTTGGATCTTACCGATCTTGACGTGAGCCCTGTCGTAATTAATACTTTCATTCGCTAGAACCCTTCGCTAGAAAATTCGGATGGGGGTTTGTGTACCGCCTACAACTTTGTTACGTTTGATCTTAATTCTCATAATAATAAATATTTTTGTAATAATAACTGAGGATGAGATTTTCCTTAATGGAAATTTCTTAAATGGACGATACTTATGTACAATTATATCGTCCATTTTTTAAAAGGAAAACTGTGAGCATAAAGAAGGTATTGCTGTGTAAAAGGAGTCATACTGTGAAAAGCACGATGGGCATTCCACTGATGATCCAGTTGTCAGCTGACATGCCATGATACACCGGGAATTACCGCAGCCATTTACGCTCGTTTCATGCATAGGCCTTCGTTTTGCAGGGAACGAAGGAGCGTTAGGAAGTGTGGCGCGATGGTGGTCAGCGGGAAAATTAACAATTAGAGGGACGCAAATGGTGACGAGCACGTCAGCGCTCGAAGCGGCCCCCCACCGCTGGCAGCGCGGAAGCAGCGTTTGGCGCACAGACGAGGTGGGGAGGCAGCGAGCGTCCGACAGTTCCCGCGTCGAGCTTGAAGACGGCGGGAAGTTCCCCCCGGACGGTAAGGCGAAAGGCGAAAGGAGAAGTCCATCGGCTGACAGTTCCCGCGCGATCCCTCGCTCCTTCCCTCGCTCGGTCCCCAGCTCGCTCGCTCGCCTGCTTGCGGCCCGTGCCGTGGCACCTTTCCCCTGCGGGCTCGCTCGGTCTCTCTCTCCCCCTACAAGCGAAGTGCTCTCGAGCAAGCGGAGGGAGAGGCTGTGTGCAATCCCACATTGCACAGAGTGGACTCATCTCGCTTCCTATCTCTCTCTCTCCTCCCCTCCCCTCTCCCCTGGTTTGATTCCCTTCATCCTCGTCCCACGCGTGTTTTCGTTTTTTTCTCCCTTGTTTTTGTTTATTGGAGTGCCAGAGTCCCTCACTCACGCTCTGACACACTCGGTTAGCCCCTTGGCGTGCTGTTTTCAAGGCCTCCCTCCCCTCCCGTCCGCCCGGACCTCGCCAGTATCGGTGTTGCTTGTTCGTCTCGTCTGTCTGTTGATCGCTGTGAGTTTCTATTGCGCTTGTTTGTCTTTACTCTCTGGGCACTGGGCTGAATTCCTAGGGTTCGTGATCGCCAGCACAGTAGAGCAGGGAGGGAGTTTTGGATCTCGCGGATATCGATCTCGTAGCGTGTTACCTTGAGTTCTGAGCTGTGGATTTTCGGGATTCGGCTGCAGATCGATGGGGACTGGCTCTGTTATTCGTTCATCTGTTGGGGAGGTTTTCCCCTGAGAATTTACGGGATTCTTGGTGCTCGATTGCGAGCGGGCAGGGAGGGCGGAAGGGAACTGTCGAGGCGGAGGACTTCTCGCTTGAAGGATTTTGAACTGAGTAAGGATTTGTTGCATACACTCCCGTAAGGCAGCTACGCGCGCATGCAGATAATCAAGATAATACAGGATTTGCCGTCTTTGGTTACTTGAGTCATTGGAAATGTAATCTTCATATGATGTCGCGCTTTTGGTCATTAAACACGTTTTACATACGGCCTCGCATCAGTGTGGCAGAAACACCTGGATTTCGCTGTGTCTACTGCATGATGCGAAGCTCGTCGGTGCTACATCTTTCATACTTTTTGAGGGCTATTTGATTTTCTTCCCACGCACCTTCTGCATAATCGAATCGATCAAATCAGGAGGCAGGTTTTTTCTGACATGTGAATCTGACGATCTTCTCAGGTTGCTGTAATAAAAGTTGCGAAGATGGCTATTTTATATGCGCTCGTAGCTCGAGGTACTGTTGTGCTTGCGGAATTCAGCGCTGCATCAGGCAATGCCAGTACCATTGCTCGCCGAATCTTGGAGAAGCTGCCGACCAGCGGTGATAGTCGAGTATCTTATTCCCAGGATCGACACATCTTTCACATCATGAAGGCCGATGGTTTGACCTTCTTGTGTATGGCCAACGATACCTTCGGAAGTAAGTTTTCTGATCTCTTCACGTGAATCTCGCTTTGGTTGTTTGCTAGATCATAAATTTCTTCTTATTCAATCTGGAGATGAGGCGGTTGGTTGCTCAAGTACTGTCATCGAATTCTGCTCGCTACATGTTTCTTAATAGGTCTTCTACGTGTCTGAATCCGCTCCTGCAAAAAATCAGCTTTTTGAATTTCCGACATGTGAAGGAGTGTTCGTAGATTGAGATTGCGAGTCTTCTCTAAGCCATTGGTCTGGCCCCTGTTTTCTGCAGGAAGAATACCTTTCGCATATTTGGAGGATATACAAATGCGTTTCGTGAAGACCTACGGTCGAGGGGCTTTGACAGCTCTTGCTTATGCATACAATGACGAATTTTCACGAGTTTTACATCAGCAGATGGAGTACTTTTCCAGTAACCCTAATGCCGACACTATCAACAGGGTTAAGGGAGAGATTGCCGAGGTGAGTTTGGCAGTCCTTTGGAGAACTTGTGACAGTCGGTGGTTTTTAAGAAAATGCCGTTTTCTCACTCTTTCTGCGAGGTCTTTATCTGGTGCTGTACTCGTCTGCCAAGCTTTGAACAGAGTTATATGGAAGCTTTCATTTCAGGTCATCTGCAACTGCTTAGGTATTAAGACGGAGGTTGTGTAGATACTTGCAATCAACGTCCACCGAAATTATTGATGAGGATTTTTCCCTATTTCCCTTCGTCAAAGATGTGTTCATCTGATATTTTGTCTATTGTGGACGATGACCCTGTTGTGGAGGTCTGCCGCTTCTTATACAATCTTCCTATTGAGCTCTGACATATGAAGCACTGAACTGCAGGTTCGGCAAGTTATGGTTGAGAACATAGATAAGGTCTTGGAAAGAGGTGACAGGATAGAGTTGCTGGTCGATAAGACAGCGACCATACATGATAATACTTTCCGCTTTAAGAAGCAGTCTCGTCGCCTTCGTCAGGCTCTGTGGATCAAGAACGCAAAACTTTTGTAGGTTCCTTACTTCCTTTCTCTCACTGGTGTACAGAGGTCACATGCAAGATTAGCAGTTGGTCACCAACTATTTTAGTAATATGGTCAGCTTATGTGCGTAACAAATTCCTTTGGTTATGACTTTTTTTATTTTTTTCTGCATATCAAGCCGACCTCATAATGTATTTTAACAGAAAATTTGCAATCTGTGGATTGCAGGGCTTCTTTGACTTGTGTGATCGTGATCATCCTTTACATCATTATAGCCTTCTTCTGCGGAGGCATCCTCTTGTATGGCTGCCACTCTTAATTACAAGGTCGTCGTTGGAAGCCATAAACAGGCTGTGTTCCCCTATCTGGTCAATATTTGTGTTTTGGATCCCAGAGGCCAGCCACAGCTTCTCGAAGTAATCTGCAGTGAGTGTCATGGCTTTTTCCTCATCTTGGAAGATGTTCCGGCCTTATTGAAGGAATGCCAGGTAGACCTGGATGGGGTGCTTGGACTACAGTAGTTGGGGAGCCACATGTTTTTGTGAGAGAGAGATTACCATCTGCTTACAGTCCTTGACCTGACGTTAGTTGGTGTTTAGCACATCTGCCGATGCAGGTCTGAACTATGTTCACATTGTTGTACCAGCAGATGTCCATGTGTTGGTTAAGAACCTCGGAGTCGTTGGAGCAACTTAGTTTTGCCCTTGTGCTATATGAAATTACTTATTCATCGTAGAAACGATCTAGGTTAAAGTGGCGTGTATATTTGTAAGTGTAAAGTTTTCATTCAATAGTCGAAAGATTGTGACTCCTTCAGAACGTCAGCTGACTCCGATTCTATGAAGAAGAACATCGTGTCTAGAGATCCCCTTTGCGAGAAGATAAGTTTCAGAAGTTCCTGCCTCCAGCACCATAGCTCTTAATACGTGCTTACATTTAGCGAACATATTGTAACATGGAGGGACTTGAACGAGGTTGTGTAAAGAGTTGGAATAATCATTTAAGCTTCTTTGTCGAGATTTGTTGTTGACCTAATGAAGGTGGAAGCTATGCCTTTTATGTTCTCCATCGTCCTTGAATGTCTCTTTACTCGGTATTGCAGTCAATTATGGATAAATTCTTGGGTCCTGGGAAAAACTCTTATTTCTTGGAAAATTCTTTCGTTAGTGCTTCTAACCCAGCTGGAAATTTCGATGTACGGGGCAAAACAGAATGAGGCTTTTGACCGAGGTAATATCCAGCCCTTGTTTTGATGGGAAACATATTGATTTTCTATCGAATATATGGAATGATCTCATAATTTGAAGGTGCATACGCATGTCTTTTTTGCTGATTTGAAAACTAATGTGACGTCAAGTCTCAACTCTGCCCCCAAGTAAAGCAATACGCAAATTACGTGGCTGGTCTTAAGGTCACATTGGTGTTCAGACTGATAATAAAATCTGGAGATATCAGCATCAATCCTTACTTGGACGGTATTGAACTTCAAATGTGCATGTCCAATATTTTTTTTACCAATAAAATGGAAATAATCTTCTGCTGTATGTTGTGATGTGCCCAAATGTAGTGGAAAGCTAACTAGTGTAATACTTGAGATAGTGGCGAATTAAATAGCCTTTAAAATATGGTATCTACTAAGGATTCGGAGCGTTCTCGACGATATAGGTGATATATGTACTGTTGGACACAGTTGATGATTCTTCTTTGAGACTCGGAAGTCAGAGGAATCCAAGACTTGGTTATGAATTGTGTGCGAGAGAGAGAAGTGGCAAAGTATGCTATCGTGTGATGTCTGTCGGGTGACGAGTCTCATGTACACGAGTACGTCAGGTAGCGCTTTCAGGTAAAGTTGTAGTAGTGCTTCGGTCTACACCCTCTACATTTTTTAGTTTTAATACGGAAGTAGTTTCGAAATAAAGATTGTGCCCACTCTTGCACAACTTAAACATATACTTACTAAGTATTTGTTGAAGTTCGCAACAAAGAAGTTTGACAGCAATAGATGGCAGGGTTGACTCAACATGTTGTAGGCCGCAACCTTCCATTCTCCCCTCCAATTTCAAGAATGTCAGGAGATTGTTAACACTGGACATTTTTGTTTCCTTGAAAAAATCTTCCTAAGGTGGGTAGAAGCATAGTGTATTGATTCTTTTGCGAGGATCCTTAAGAGCAAAACACTTCGATATCACTTTGAAGTAAATAGACGTTTAAATTGGGATCAACTGGGTTACTAAAATTATGGGAATAATCATCAAGTCTTGTAAAACGCAAAATCAAAAAACAAAATCATTAGTATCATGAAAAAAAGTATTTCAAGAAACTTTTGCTAATATTAAACATAATTACACAAGTTTTTCCTCGAAGAATATGATCATTGGATGTTACATAGTTCAATAAAGTTACACTCTTGAAAATAGTGCGGTACATTGTGTAAACAAGTTTATCTCTCTCTCTCTATATATATATATATATATATATATATATATCTCTCTCTATTTATCGGAACAAACATGTTTGTCTACCGAATAATGTGAATCTGTCATTGATTAGTCCAATTCTTTGAGAAATTAAAGTACAAAAAGTCTCTCTACAAAATACATAGATTTTTATAAAGTCTTCCTTTGAATGGTTGAAATGCAATATGCACTCAATAGAAATTACAAGGACGGTGTATAGCTTAATCACATATGCTAACATGATAGAATCAATAGTATACCAAGCTGTCATCTAAAGTTCAAAACCCCTAGTTGATGTTGTGTTTGGGAATGATTAAATAATTCAAGTCATTTCTTTGGAAAGATTGGGAGTCTATTTCATGGTGCTCTATGATCAGGCCCGCCAAAGCTACAAATGACACAAATGTCAGATTGTTTTCGATGAGACGATGTTTTAGAAAATGAAATGTTTGACAAGCCATAATTAAGCTTATTTTGAAACATCATAATATTTGATTGATAATTTGTGGCATATAATACCATGAATATAATTTTCTTACATTGCAAACTTTTATTATAGACTTTTATGCAAATAAAAGTGAAAATGAATTTGTAATCCAATTTCAAGAGTCGTGACAACTCAGCAAGTCTTTACACTAAACATCAAAAAACTTCTTTTAAAGAAATAGTATTAAAGATATTGTAATCTATTCATATAGAGTTAAACCTCCCAATAGTGAGATATATTGGCACTTGGGTTTTATGTCACTATTGTGAGGTGTTACTCACAAGAATAAAGTGCGTATAACCTACTAACAGTAACATATATTGGTGTTAAAATTGGATGTCATTGTTGGGAGGTGCGTAATTTTAATATTACCTCATAATAGTAAGATACATTGGTGTTGGGGTTAGATGTCACTATTGGGAGATGTCAATTATTTTTTAAAAACTCATAGATTTATTATCCTACATTATATCAATCTTAGTACAGTTTTTAAATGTGTTGTTTGGTTTCAAAATAGTCTTCATTTGCACATCTGTCACGACGATTAACATAAATATTACAATTGTGTTTGAATTCATATTAATACACAAAAATCTGAGTGAAAAAATTGATGGTAATATATGTAACGAATTATTTTACTAAAGTCCAAAAAGAGTGAATTGTTGAGCTATACCTTAAAATAAACTTATGCCACATTTTTTTAAAGTCTCATAGCTATGAATTGTGATCATGATAGAAATTTTTACTCCCAAATTACACTTGAAATTGTCACTATTGAAAAATATCATGTCACTATTGGAAATATTGACGTAGGGTTCTTATTGAGCATATTTACAAGTTAGAAACTAATGGTTTTGGAATTTTACGTCACTAATGAGAGTATGTCACTCATACGAGATGACACTATTGGGAGGTTTAACTCTGTATCTATGTTACATAGAGGTCTTTTAAGTAAAAATTCAACAAAGTTAGATTGGGATATGTAGATTGTTTAAACTTTAGATTCAAAATAAAAATGATTTTGAAGGTTTTAAACAGAATTGAAAGTTTTAATCCTAAAAATCACATCAATTGGTAACAAGGACATATATGCAATTAAGACATATTTCTAAATTAAAATTTAAAATCTCTAAAAATTATAATCTTTAGAGAAATTTGATTTAATTTTTCTTTTATATAAACCTGTTCAGAATTGAAAATATTTTGATAAGATATAAATAAATATATAAAATTTAATATATGAGTCTGAAAAAAAAATTACGACTTGAATATAAACTTTAACATGAGTAAGGATTTTTTAAGTTTGTGAAATCATCCACAGAAGATGTACTATTTTAATTACAAAAAAATTCATATGTTTTAATAAAAGATTTATTATATATATTTTTAGCACTTAATAGAATTTTTTTACAATTTTTTATCGAATGCTAGATTTTTAACTGAACGCATGTGATTAAAATCATATGATCTAGATAAATGAAGCAGAAGCAAATTTTAGGTTCAATAAGGGCTTACACGAGTGTAAGTGACTTGTTAATGCATTAGTAATCAAGATCACATTATTCGTAGCTTTGTCAAGAACATTTAAGCTTTGATGACATTTACAAATAAATGATTCAATTATGGACGATTGAAGAAAATATTGTACAAAAAAATATTTATTTTTTCAATATTATTGACGATCCTATGCAAGTGTACACAACACAGAAAGACATTGCTGCATAGCTTTGCATTCACTTTAGGCCTTTACGAAAGAGGTTACGATGAAATTTATTGAAGAGCACCAAGTCAAGCCTGACGTACATTGAGTGAAGATGTGCAATATTCTTGTTTCAAAAAACATATAATATGGAAACGATATATATAGAAAAAGGGGAAAAAGTATCAAATCATATATTTAGGAACTAAATTGTCCGAGACGCATAAACCCCCAACATGATTCTAAACCTAGATGCTTGAGGCCGGTCCCCTGTAAACTCCAATCCGTCTACGCTGGATGTCAATTTTGCAGCCTCCAGAAACAGATTATTGAACTGAACTTTCGCTGCCACCTTTCAGGTTCAGTGTTACTTTATAATCTATAATTTACTGTCGTACGATTTAGGCATGCAGTTCTCGGGCATTTGGATTTGTGTAGGTCTGCAGCTCTCCGGGCGACACAGGATAACTGCACCCTGTACAGCACTGCCGACAATCTCTTATTGAGAGTCAGTCTTTCAAAGAAAAGGAAAATTTCAACGAGTGAGGTTTGATGTCAGATTCTGTCATTATCCCATATTGCTCATTCAGTAACCGGGCCTCGAGTCTTTGTCTTCCTTCACTGAGGTCCCTCCTTGATCTACAATTCCCTTCATTTTTAGTTTCTTCCAGTGGCAGGAATCTGGGCCCGATTGGCTGCTTCACAGGAAATTGAGCTCTATTTAGTTTAAATTGTCTTCCACTTCGGTTCGGTGGAAACTTCACAACAAAAATCTCTAAGCCTAGAGGGAAGTGCATGCTTACATCGTACGACGTGGAACCTCAAGTGCTCGTGTCAGGATTTCCTTTGGAAGTTTCCGAAAATCTTTGCACGGAACGATCAGCAGCGCTAAGAAATCGTAGCCTGAGTCTTCGATGAGGCCTGTGATGATTCTGATCGTAGGAGTAGATGACCAGCTCGGGACCTGCTCTTGCGATTCAGTGCCATCTGCAGCACCATCTCCGCTGGGATTAGGTTGCATGAACACTGCTCTATAGACTATCCAGTTGCCTGTCACGTCAGACTAGCTACTGAAAAAAGATGTGAAAGTCTTGTGGTGGAATCGACTGGTCCTGAAATATTTTCGTCTCTGGATAGTTTAACCTGCGACAAGCATGGTTGTTAGGATGTGCTCTCGATCCATGAGCAGAAAGTATAAAACGAGATTGAAATGCTTTTCTGTATGCTCCGAGCGAAAAGCTCCCGCCTTGTTTCTATCTGAACTTGTCTTAAGCTTGCCAAGCCTGAGCAATGTGTGTCTGGTCTTTTGGAAGAGTAAGACACTCTTACGAAAATTAGTATGACTTTCCAACAAACGCATCCACAATTAGACATATGTGACCTTCCTGAAATGTAGCCATGAACTGAGACCTGGAACGTCCATGCTGGAGAGAAAGCAAGTAGATCTGATAACTTGATCCTAGGTCTAGAGGATGTACCACCATTCGTCCGGAGCAGAGTCTTTGACTTCGAGCATGCTCGAAGTAAATGCTACGAATCTTCAGCTTGGAAAGACCTATTCCGCCTACATGAACTGAGAGGAAGAGTACATACAAACCATAGGTTCAAACGCCCACTGGATTCATTCAGTTTGATCTCTCAGCATCGTTTGGAGAATTGTCTAAGGTAGAGGTTTGATCTACTAGAGTGTCACCAAAGGCTCACATTGGGAACATTGCTTAGTGCTCGATGCAGGTCTAAAGCTTATCCTGGCTCCCTAGGTCACCGTACACATAAGAAGAGGATGGTGCACTTGGCAACAATTCACAGCCACACTTTCTCATCTCGCTCTTTGTGCCATGACAGTCCAACATCTCTTACAATTAATGAGCAGAGGAGCTTGATTTAGACCTTTGCTCGGAACTCCGTTAAAGATTTTGAGCTGTTTATTGATAAAACTCATGCACCGACGTACTCGAATAAAGTCATAGCGACTCTTGAGCACTTTCTCCAACGGCTCTTCATCCTCGTGTTGCATGAAGGTCTGTCTCTTCCACAGAAGCCTACTTCCATCTCGCTTCTCGTACATTTTGGAAGGGGCGAAACGTTACATCCAGCTGAACCTCGTTCGAGTAATGTTGGAGATTCCTTGAGCCCTTCTCGTCTATGTAGTGCAGAGTGATATCAAACTCAAGGAACCGGATGGGCATAATATGGACCTAAGGTTTTGATGTACTCTTTCACTCAGTTCACTCACTTCAAGTAGGGGGGATAGGTCTTTCCAAGCTGAAGATCCGTTGCACAATTACTTCAGAGCATTCTCCATCAGTCACACAATCTCTTTCCTTTCAGGTCTCGTATACCGTTCAGCTCTCATCAACACGAGGTTTGAGGGATATAAAGGGTAGAAAGTTAAGGTCATTCTTTGAGCTGCCCTTGTCGTTATTTCCAACCGTTTTTCTTGCATGGTGCTCCACTGTCCACAGCTTGATACACACAGTTCACATCCACTGCTTCATTCACTGCCCATTCGTCGAGGATAATCTAGATCTCACCATAGTTTTCCATTCTTTTGGTTACGGAGGTAATCACAGTGGAGTACCTGAGCAAAGCAGCTGCTTGTGTGCATATCTAGCTTAGAATTCACCGTCGCTATTGGTTAATGAAAGTTCCCTCGCCCCTCACACAGACTTGAATTATCCTCTCATTGCACAATCTTCTGATGAGGATCTTGTGATTTTGAGGATACCCAGATATATAGCGAAAAAGGATGAGAAGACCAATCAACTCGCACATGGATACAACCAAAGGGGGAAGATCCTGGCAGGCCCCAACAACATCACCATTGGAAAAGTGTCCAACTGAACTTAAGATAACCCCAGTATCATGTTATTTAAGGTAATTGGTTATATCAGTTCGGCTCTGTGCATTTAATTTATAAACTCACTTCTATCGGAGATGCCGGATATTCTACCTTTCACTGAATGGGAACTTGTTCCCATTCAGTGAAACTTTGTAGACCTTTAATAGAGAGATGTTAGTTTCTGTTTCATAGCTGTGACTGGTACCTTTGAAAGGCCTTGCAGTAAGCACGACCCTCGATATGCTCAGAGGCAGCAGTTCAGTGGAACCTCGTCCAGAGCATCTACCTTTTTCTGAAGTCAACCTCGCCTGCCCAGCAGGCAGAGGGAAACGGGAAACTGCTTTCAAGTTCGAGCCAGATGTCACAACACAAGATCCTGTGAGCGAATTCAAAGAGCGAGAAGGCATGGGAGCAAGCCCTTACCCTTGCCACCATATCCACAACGTACTTTCCGTTACGTGCCGCCGCTGGAGCTCTATGCATCGAAGGTGCTAAAGTTGGAGGAGCTCTCTACGTCTTATCTGCTCTTGGAGAGCAGGGCTACATGATCTCTGGATCATGTAGTCCAGACGAGACACTTTCCTCTGTCTCTTGTGATCATTGGAGTAGGTTAGCGTGACGTACCACCAGCTTGACGAACTCCAGCCCATGTCGAGAATCGCCAAAAGATCCTGAATGATTCTAATACATTTCGCTTGTTCCACAAGATTGCAAGGACAGGGTATACGAAGGATGGAGACTTTGTTCTTCTCGACTGTACCATGTACGTGTAGCTGACTAACTTAATGTATCGGAGAAGCTAGATGGTGCATCAGATGGCAATTCGTTGAATTTCGGTAGCATCTTTGCATGATAAAGATGCTATGAGAAATCGAACTGTGAGCCATTTTCTCGATTCGAGAAAATGGCTTTTGTATTAAACTGTGAGTATTGAGCCATTTTCTCGAAATCACAAAATCACAGGTATACTTAAGTATTGACAAATTTTGTCAATACTTTTGCTGTGATTTTGAGTAACTAAACTTTTTCTCTGTGAGCAGCAGAACTAAACTTTGCATCTCCAGTTGCGGCCTTCTTGATGCGTTTCGAGCGGGACATAAAGTTCTCAATGGCAGGCATGTGAATGTCTTCATTCCAGTTATAGTAATATCCAAAAGTATGCTGAAGTACACAACAACACATTAAATGTTTCTCAAGTTACCGTTGGATGAATTAGGATATTGCAATGAGATGGACTGACATATCTGCACTGAACTTCGAGTATCACATAGAGTGCAAGCAAAGTAGTTTTTATCTAGATTCCGACATGGTCACACCAACAGATAAGAAGCCAGAGGAGAATGGAGTGTAGAGATCCTCCGTCAACACTGCCACTTGTCATTTTCATTACGCTCTAGAATTGAGAGTCAACTCCAGCCGAGTATCGTCAAGTACGGTATTGAAGTATTATGAGCTTCAGTACTTAGCAGTGGACGATTGGCGACTTTCCTGGGGAGGCAGGTCCCGACAAGAGGGAGTCGTATTGATCCCGCCAGTCTTCCGAGTCCAAGTTAGAGCAAACAAATGAGCACTGAGAGAATGTGAGGGCACAACGTAATAAGAATCAATGCCATTGACTCGAGGAAAGGTTATTAAGTACCATTTGAGAAGAATCACCCCACGTCTTTTATGAATGCTCATGCTCCTCTAGTGCGATTCTCATGCATATGAGAAGAGCTCTCATGGAGATGATGGTTGATTGTACTGAATCAATGTTAAAGGCTGACTTCTTTCCTCTGACTTGAGTTGAAGGAACTGTAGAATCCTACAGCTGCCGCCCAAAGAATGATAGGGAAAGAAGAACTTACCTTTCTGTAAGAAGTCCATGATCCCAGAACATGATGTCGATAATGTGTACATAAACAGCTTAGATATGAAGACGTTGTATCCATGCCTTGATATTGCTTACATACTTTTACCAGGAGGGTATGGATTATATACTATTACCAATAAATTTTCATTCTCCTTATTCTTCTAGCGAGGGATCTCCTTGGCTGTTTCGCCGTCGCCCCCATTTTTGTATCGTTTGTAGTGTCTTTAAGTGTCTCACTTACTTTTATACTCATATTCGCCGTCTACCAAGCTTTCAAATATCTGCATTTACGTACACATGTTTGTGTATTCTGATTGCATCATGATATTACAGAAGTTTGTCTACATTGGCACATGTTACAATGAGTGTTCTCAGATGTGATGAAGACAAGCACCGACCGAACTCTTGTCACGCTTTAGGGTGTAGGCTGCATTTACACAGACATTACACTAATGTCAAGTTGAAAACAGTCTAATCGTTCAACTAGATTAGAAGCTCACGTATTTTGCATCTCATGACTGACAGTTGCAAGTTGTGTTGTGCATTCACTTGGTGTGACAGGCTTGAACCCTTGAACATTTGCTTGGAGGTTCGATGGAACTTCGATCTGACGTGTGAGCAAATTCGAAGTAAATTTGTCTGAGGTAAGGTGAAGGAACATGCCCCAGTCAGTCGGACTTCAAGCAGTGTGCAACGTGGGGAGGGGGAAGGCTAGAACTTCGCAACGGGGCTTTTATATCACACGAAACTTTCTCGAGTCCAATAATTCCCAATTAATGTAAAGACCTATCCTCACTGTCTCTGAAGTTGTGAACTGAAGAATTGTCCTGTGCAGTCATAACATCTGTTACGGCTTAGCAGACTTTGTCTGTACTGTGTTCATGAAAGGTTCGTGACTCGCGTCCACGAATTTGTGTCAATTTTACCAAAGTCCCATTGGAGATACCACCGGTGATACAGTTGTGAGTTTGTTGAAGACATCGAGGATCCGAAATCCGACTCAAAACGAAAATTTTTGATCCATTGAGAAGAGAAGATTAAACCTAGTGACATTCAGCCCAGCAAAGACACTATACATAAAAAATTGTATTTTTTAATAGTTGTAGATGATTAGCATTGTCTGGGATTTAAAATAGCAAGCCCAATGTATTGTGATCATTGCAGGACCATGCTTTCCACGAGACTACCTGAATGTGCACCCAAGTCTTTGAAAGTAGAATGACAACAGAAATTCTCATTCGAGTGAATATTTGTTACTCTATATTTCGAAACCTTAGCTCCTCACCGACTACTCGGTCAAGATGGCTCGATGACAATAATTCAACTTAAAAAAAGTGGTCTAGTCTGGAATGTAATGTACATGCGTTTTGTTATATCAGAACTTTGAATGTCACATTATAAATTCATATATATCTCCAATTTTCGATAGTCATTTTTTAATCTATCCAGTACTCTTCCTTTCTATAGCCAAAGCACAAACAGGAGGGAACTTTGAAGGAAAAAAATTATTGAATGAAAGAAACATTTTGATTTCATAAACAGGTGAATGATCCTAAGAGACTACAGGCAGCGCATCTCCTCTCGAAAGAAGGACTTCTGACACATATATGATTCCAAAGGATGATTCAGAATTAGGTCAATCATATATTTGTCATGTTAACTGGCATGTCTTTAACATACATATTAAGCTGATTTTGCTGCAGAAAAATCCTTGCAAATTATTATAATATCGAGTTATGCGACCCTAGAGCTTGTCTTTGGCATGCCATTTAAATGCATGACTGAAGTATGTACAATACTAGAGACAGCAGAAAATAATTTCATATGACGTGTAAGACAAGTGAGATTCAAAATCTCGTGCAAAGTTCGAAGCGTGAAGCTGATCTTACTGCGATGGCGAATCAGATCACATGGTCGTGTCGCACTGAAGCAATAATACCAGCACTCGAGCGAGAAATCACGACCACCTGAGAGATCAGTACAGCGAAGATCCAACACAGATGTACAGTGTCCTCAGTGCCTACGGAATAAGAGGTGCAGCATTTGGTACCGCTCGGTCTCGAGGTCCGGCTATGGACAGGAGCTGCGGTCAAGAGAAGTCTCTTGACCCGACGATTAGCGGCCCAAGACGCCGGCCGTGTCAGCCGTGAATTATGCCACAATCGTTGCTTTCTTTCTCTCCGTCGGGGCATCGTGGAAAGAGATCCTCTCCGACAAATGGGATTTACGCGAATTTGGCGGAACATTCTCGGAATTTCGTTGACTGCGAATCCGGGCGAGTCGATCTCGAGCGGGCAGGAGCATGGAGCCCTCCAAATTTGGAGGCGATGAATGAAAATCGGTGATTCCGATTTGCAGCGCTTCTTAATTTGGCCGCCACAATAATCGTCCGCAATCTGGCTCCTCAAGCGATCCGTGCTTTTGAGATGCCGACCCTGACGGTGGTCAACGCCTGACGGCCTGGCCGACGGTAGGTTGGCCGACGCGGGAAGGAACGCTCGACGGCAGTTACTCAGCGCGACGCCGGGGCTCACATTTCGAAAGCCCCTGTCAGTCGTTTGCTCTTCGTCTTTCCTTCCTGCAGCGGGACAGAAGTCCGTCCGTCTGTCCCTTGGAGCTGATCCGCGGCAGGAGCCGTGTCGGGGATATCTGAGAACCCCGGGAAGCTCTCTCGGCCCAATTATTCAAAAATCCCCACGTTCTGTTTTTCCTGATTAGTATTCTGTGTCATAGTACCCTCTCCGCTGCATTATTTATTCAATCACATAATTGTGTTGGATTGCGAGTTCTTTCCTCACCGTTTTTCCGTAAGTTCCACATCCGGAAAGGTAACCAAAGATAAATAAAAGAAAGTAATAACACGAGGATTGACCGTATTGACTTTGAAAGGTCGAGCTTTACACTCATTGTCGTCAATGGGCGAACAAGCGCCGGCAGATCAATTGATTTTGATTGATTTTTGAAGCGAGGCCAATGTGTGTACCTCTCAGCTTTTTATTTTTTTCTGGTGTATCCTAGACCAATAACATATTTAAAATGTAGCAAATTTTGACACGTGAAGGTATAGATCAAGGTCAACAAATTTTGTTTAAATAAACTGTTTTAACTCCTACAATATATATATATATACAAGCTGTATAGAAGTATTATTAAAAGATTTGGTTTCGCTACAAAAGAAAAGCATTATTATCGGTGTAAGGTAGTGGGCAAGTGATACATGGAGATTTGAGTATGGTCTACGGACTTGTACAAAGTACGGCAAAGTAATCAACTGGGCAGCAGATTCCAGAAGTGCTTAAAATGCAGTCGCCTGGAACGGAGCGTGCTCTGAAAGATGGTAATGTCTACTGACTTCCCCGACATGCTTGCGGTATACTATTTGTACATGGATCATGCATGATACGACAGTGCTATACAGTTCAGAGGGAAGCAACGGAATGAGCCGACTTCTTCTTAAGGGGCTGTACGCTCGTGAGTGGTGGGGGGAATGAAAACGTCCACTTTTGAGAAAGGAAAAGTCGCAGAATGGGACACCAGATAAAATGCTTTCCACGATGGGTGCGTTCTAGCGGTGAATTTACAGGCTGACATGAGCCCTCGAGGGGTTCTCATGTGAAGCGTCGAGGGGAGGGGAGGGGAGTGGAGGGTCAAACACTCCATCCAACAATTCAGAGCATTTATAAAAATTCTGTACAGGCGGGAGGTGAAGTGGAAGCGTGTATCGGGAGGTGGTTTTGCCCATTGGTTTCTACTGATGCTATTGAAGACACCCACCGGCCTTGGCTGACATCACGATGCCAACATTCTGTATCATGCACGGGTGATATGGGGCTGGGCTGGGCTGGGCTGTGACAAGAAGAAGCTGCAAAGTCTTTCGTTCTTCTCGCTACAGTCTCGTGGAAAAGACTCTTCCGCTGCGGCGCCCACCGCAGCGATGTGAAGAAGATCGAGCCCTATGAGACGAACTCGCTGCTTTCCATCTGAAGTTTTGCGTGCTCACGAGCTCGCCATGTGCAACTTAGCTCAACGGCATGAATCCGTCATGTGAGGTTGTTCGCCCCTTACTTTCAGTGTTTCATGTCTTCTTGTAAAGTGGAAATGCTCAGATACTTTTCCCGTTCGATAAAATTGATTCCACCTCGCGACTGCTGCCCACAGCATTTTATTCCTAACCTTCTCATGCATCTACAAGCTTCAGCTTTTGTTTGATTTAGGCATAGTGAATACATTTTTCCTATACAGAGCCAAAAGCAAGTACAGTCAATCGGACATCAATCATGTTACATCACGCTTCCTGATATAAAATGTATGTAGTTTGATCTAGATACTGGGGAGTTGTTAAGTACAGCATGACAGATGGTACTGTTGCAACCTAGCCACATACTGACTCATTTCCTTCATCCATGTAAATAGAAGAGGTCATAAAAAAAGAAGGAGAGGAATATCCTGATAAGTGTTACAGTACACTGTAACAAGAGCCAAGACTCCACAACACAACAATCCAAATTTGTTCCAACCTTATCTCAGATTTCAGACTATCCATGTAAAATTATCTATACACAATAAGAATATGGAGGAAAACATCATCTAACATGATGATTTGTTCTATAAACTTTATCCGTTCGTGCTCTATATAGACAAATGGAAAGAGGTTGACAAAAAACTAGAAAAATTATATTCTCGACTACATAGTATGTCAAGCGCACATGGATTCTTTCACAACAATGTCTAAGTTGTTGTTTCGTGGCTTCATCTAACTTCAAAGTTGGACAGCAGATAAGTCGTCTTCCTGCATATTTATCTTAACGTTACATGTATAAATAATAAGCATCACGACTGTGTTTGGGTAATTTTATCTCAAGTAGAGGGCCGTTTGAACCTTGTTACAAAGCATATCAATGTAATCAATTGTGATGTAATGTATCTAGCCTCTCGCACCATAACAAACATCACAATGGCATCCTATATGACTATCATCCTCGTTCTGGACCGACAACACGTCATATGAAGGCGTGATGCATCTAAAGTGAAACCAAATCCACACATGAATAACAAAGATGTGGATTCATTAACCAAGACAAGATGAAACCTCACATTGCATACAACTTAACATGTTTTTGCTTTGTTGCATGATTATCTTCGTTTGGAGCTCTTTTGTTGGTTGGAGAATATTTGGTCGAGCAGCATCATGAATTTATTGCATGAAATTATATCTCTTTTCCATAAATCTACGTATATCTTCTTACAAGGACATTCATTTCTGTCTACCCATTATTTGATGTTTTCACGTTCGCTGGAACATGACGGTCATGTGCATGGATTGTGTGGTGAGATCCGGCAGCGCTTTTGTGTGAGCAGGGCAGAAAGTTAAATCGCTGAATTATTTGAATGATTGAGATCGATCGGCAAAACGACTTATGGGAGGGTAAGAGACCAAAAAACTTTAATTTCCCAACATTGCCTCGAGGTGCTTGAGAAGTTCAGAGTTTGCAAGCTCGGGTAATTCAGGTAGTCAGCACATCCTCGTCTCTGTATTAAATGAATTTCTGGACTTGCAAAAGTTGGTCCCACAACTTTCGAGCTCTAAATGCCTTGACAACTTTCAGTCAATGTAAACTACTTGTGGCATGGATCTCAAAAACGAAAAGCTCACCGCAAACGCTTCCGTCATTTTAGGGAATAAATCCAATGCTTTTGCAGCAGCAACTCCACTACAGCAGTCGGGTCACATCTTTGTCACGGTGGTAGAGCTCATAATTAGTTCCGTCCATATACCTGTCAACTCCTCAATTTTTGCCACTTAATTCATAACCTACCTCAAAGGACATGATAAAAGGGCAAAAGTCTTATCTACAACAGTGTGCATGTGAATCGATACTTTTACTGTACCAGATCATACTTCTAATGCGTAGGTGTTACAATTTCTGAGGTACAGCAGAGATGCTCAGTAGCTCTCGATCAAACCAGAAGTCTTGGTAGAAATGTATTCTATTCCTAGCACTTCATTCGATTTGTACAATGGTGTACAAAGTACCACCCGATGAGATTGCTACATCTACAACCATGAAATCTGTATCATGACCTTTGTTTTGAACTAGGGTAGTACGTTGCACACCTACTGTCCAGTACTCCTTTGAGATAAAAGCTCTGGTCTCGTCCCTAAGCGAGAACATAGAAATTTTTAAAATATCGAGCTCAAGTCAACCGTACTTTAAAGCATCTGCTCCTCAAGTCTGAAGATCATATCCAATAGGAAAAGAGATAATTGGCCTTCGAGGGCATAGTCATGCAAAGCAGCAATCACGGGTTGACAAGCGTCGTAAATAAATGGGACCTGGGTCGGTCACTACCCCATAAGATCACTGTCTCACATCGTGCACCTGGAGAAGTGTCTGACTAATCATGCCGCTATTCCCGGTTACCATTAAGTTAATTGTGCAAATGGCGATGAACAAATTATAAATAGATCAGGTGAAAAATAAATATTTGTCAACGCCTCACCCATAATTCAGAGTTATTTTGCTTCGTTAGAGTACAAAGTGCACTGATCAGATTCATTATCAAATATTGGTAAGATTTCAATACTCGTTCGATTTCCACTTATGAACCTTGAAAGTGTTGGTGGCCACTTTGGGCTGATTACCGATTGTTGTTATGAGCTCTGGGTTGTAGGTCCAAAGATGTAAGCGAGGACACGTTTGAAGTATAAACTCCTGACCCAATTCAAGTACTGAATATCGAAGTTGTTAATATATATTCATAAAACACGTGTGACCAAAAACAAAGTACACAACTGGAGGGAAGTCCAGAAATAATTTAATGCCACAGCATTGCTCATGATTAGCAAGATTTAAACTTTTCATGTAATGATGATATTTGGCTTCAGTCTGAACAAGGCAGGAATCTATCAGATTTCAAAAACTTAGGGTAGGGAGTACATGTATCCTTTATGTTTTCCAAATTTAGTACATGTCTTCCCATACCTTGTGCTCTTTCAATTTATACATGTTTAGAGAAAATAATGTCTACTAGAAGATTATATGCGAGAAGTTTTTCAAGAGTACTTGATATTCTGTTTCGGTCTATTCCATCTGGTCATCATCATATTGCTTAAATACCCTCCATTTGTGAGTTGGCTGTTAGTTTCCACAAGGGGATGTACTCATGAGATAGAAGTTTTCGATGGACTGGAACAAATGAATACCTCTAATAATTTGACATCCTTTTTGAACTCGAGTATCTTCAGTTCTTTCTAGAAAACAATCCAACAATTCTCTCGTTCGGTTGACGTATTAAAGAGCCATTACAACTGATTATGGAAGGCGGAGAATTTGTGGTCCAACTTTTCCTGCCTTTAAGCTGTGTCTGGTAACATTATGGGCACAAAATATGACCAGATCAAAATTTAGCAGATATTTCGGGAAAAGAATTTTTTTAAGGTACTTCCAATTTTATTCATCCACCCTCGATGCATTGAACCGAAGGTATCATGCTAGATTTTTGCTGCGAGCCGTAATACACTGCAGGCCCCATTGTACTGACGTCCATGCCTAAATCAAAGCTCAAAGCAATGCAGCCCGACTTCATTGGAACATGCAAATTACAAGCCTGCAGCAAAGTACTTTTGTATTAGTCCGAGATTTTCACCCCATCTACATCTTCTGATCCTATGTGAGGGAGCAGAATGTCTCAGCCGCATTTCTTGCATGTGGGATCGAACACAAGTAGCCAGGAAAGGTAAAAGACATCGTCCACGTGAAAGGAAGATATGTGCAAGGAACTGCCACCTCTCAGCCCGCCTCGCCTCAGAATGGATACTGTATCGCGTACAAGGAGGTTTGTGGGTCCTCGAGAACCGAGAGGTGATTGCTCAGAAATTCATCCCTACGCATGACACTGTTCAGTTCGCAATGGATGGTTGTACTTCATCGAGGTGATTTGAAGCTTGTGGTTTCTGGCTGCCTCTCGCTCCCTGCCCCACAGCTCGACAGATACTGTCGACGGCATTTCATACACGGCACTCAACAGAAGTGTTAAACTTTATCGAGCATATAGGCTTTTGGGGGTTCAGATCTTTGTACGCATGGCTGCGAGACGTGTAGGAAAACAAGAATAACGGCAAACCCGAAGCACAGCGAGGTGTGAACAATGGGCCAGTAAATTCTTGGAGAGGTTAAGACGCTTCACATCTTTCGGACTAGAGTGCGATGATTCGTTTTAGGGTAACGAAAGACGCACGTATGTGCTAATTGCGTACGAGGCGTGACCGCCATGCTTTGCACTAATCAAAGTGGTGCCGACACGATGGGACGACGGACTGATTTGCATGACAAGCAATAAGCCTAATCATTTCGAGTTTTTGTTTGTTTCTTCAGATAGCTCGTACACTGAGTGCGCGTGCCATTGGTAGCTGGTCTTTGCGGTGCTGTAGAGATTTGACGCAAGGCGTGTTTGACCTTTGTTCCCGACACGAGCAAAAATCTTACTAATCTTGTTCAATGCTCGTCTTCGAGCCGAGCTGTCAAAATCGTCCATCGATATAGTTTCCCAATCTTCCTCGTCGTCCAATACGCATTTGTTGTCTCCCTTTGTAGAGAATGCTGTGTCCATATCGAATATTTTAGCTTGTACGACCCTCAACATGGGGCTTCCGTGATCACCACAGTTTGACTCCCTTCATCATCACTGAATCGATTGCCTCACTTTTGCTCGTCAGTGGATTGCAGCTGTCCCACGGACAGAGCTGTACTACCCAAATGCGGTCTCAATCTTTTCCCAGACAACATTCATAGAGCAACGTTTCCCTCCTTCGGCCAGTCGGTATTCTATTATTCGGTCCTCGTTCTTTTTTGAGTCGGTATATCATTGCATGCTGTCCATGAAAGGTTTCAGTCCAAGTCGGTACTCGAGATGGTCATTTTCTCGACATTTTGCAAAAAAGAGTACAAGACTTTTAATTCTTCGATTCTCTCGTAAACTTCTTAGATGCCTCACAAGACTAATATAATTTGGAAGATTATCTTCCAAACAGAGAAACAAGGGTATCTCCATCGGATCCTCACTCTTGTGGTAAATATCACTGCGCCTTCAGCAGTTGTGGAGAAAACACTTTATTTTTTGCCATCTTCAGTCAACATGTACTTTGTGTAGGCAGTGGTTGTGCTCCACACCCCCAAAAGCAAGGATTGTAAGTTCAAGACCATTAACCTTTGAGTGGTGGACTTGAACTCTAACCTATGGTTGTCTCCTCGCTACGATTAGTTATGCGGATCACTCATTGGCGACTTCGGAATTATGTGTAACCTCAAGTACAGGATTACAGATTATATCCAGGGGTGTAATCATGCATACTGTCTATTATAAAATATCCTAGTCAGGATCTCGTTGTTGATAGTAATCCTAAAAGTTCTATAAATAATAATTTCCATTGTAAAAAATATATTTGTACAAAATGATCGCTAGCGGATTTGGGAGATATTTACATTATAATCACGTTCCAATTTTGGGGGGATGATTAGATACCTAGCTGCAAGATTTCAGGAGCTCTAGAACAGATGGTATAATTCGGGGCCGCAAAGCTTCTAGAGCACTTGATATAAAGTACAGAATAGAAACTCGAGGTTTTTTACTGAAGGCACTTCATGGTTACAAAGCATGGAGGACTGACACTTACCTTCTCTTCGGAAATAATTGGATCGAAAAAGTTCCCACATGCATTCTAATTGTTTCTTAATGTACTCTAAGCTTACCTACTACCACTAAGATTCCAAGTTATAGCGATGTGATTCGCCCTTCCATGTGGTTAATTGTCTTCTTGTGATTGTTTTGTCCAGTTCTTATGTCCATGAACGTTAGTTGACGAGTTTTATGAAAGTGCTGCCATCATCTGCATAGAAACATCTCGTTTGAAAACATAAGAACCATAGAAAATTGGCACCAAGTGATATAGAATGCTAATGCTCCATCAAGTAGTAGAGAGATCAAACCAGTGGGGTAGAATGAAGTTAGACCACTGGTAAATCCAACGCAAAGAGTGCAACCATTAGAAAAACATTTGAAAAAATATCTCACAGTATGATTATCATTGTATGGATTGTACCATACATAATCATACACACAATGACTGACTCGAACATATGATTTTATATAAGTAGATAACAATATCTATGGTAGCCTCTTGCGTAAGAACATGTCAAGCATGAGTCACTAGATTCAGATACCTCCAAACGTATATGAAGGACAAATTATCCGTATGTGTGGATGCATACGAATACCCGATTAAAGAACACAGTACGGGTCCCAAGAAAGGGACCAGATTAGCGGGCGGTGCTGCGTTATGAAGCTAAAGGGCAACGGGGAGAACGAAGGGGACGAAGATGAAGGCCACTGTAAAGGAGGCACGAATGCGCAGAATGGCTGCAGCTCGCCCGATCCGCTCAAGACCCGCCAGCCAGCCCGCCCGCCCTCCCGCCCGCCCGCGGGGCCCACGGGCTTCCTCCCTCCCTGGCCCCGGCTGCCTTCCCGGGGACTGGATGACTGGCGACTGACCGTCCGTCCCCACCTGCGCTCTGTTCTGCCGCTGCGGGAGCAGAGGGAAGAAGAGAAAGAAGAGAGAAGAAGAAGAAGCTCGAACGCACTGCACCCGCGGCGCGGGCCTCTGCGCGTCACGCTCCGGCTGTTCCTCGCGGCGCGGCAGGGCTCGCAGGTTTAATCAGCGCCCGCGTCCGTTGCTCCGTTGCATTGCGCTGTTTGTGGATACGTTGCCTCCGCAAGCGGAGGAGCGGGAGGCGGGCCGACCCGAGGCGCACCAGCGCACGGGACGAAGAGAGAGCGAGGGACGAGGATACAATTCCTGCTGCATTCGGTTGCTGTGCATTGCATTGCGGAGTTGTGGATTAAAATCGAGTGATGCGTGCGGACGAGAAGGAGCTGGAGGAGGAGGAGGAGGAAGAAGAAGAAGATCAAGAGGATGATGGAGAAGAGCTGTTGGTGTTCAGTGGTGGAGTAGCGGACGACTGCTTGTTGTTCGCGTGCTGCGGGGCGGAGTGAAGGTGGAGCATTGGTTGAATATTTTCGGAATTCGTTTCGTCAGGGGATTCTGCTGTGCTCACATTCCGCGGGGGAGCAGTGGTTGTTGTTGTTGTTGTTGCTGCTGCTGCTGTTGCTGTTGGCTGGAAGAAGAGGAGGAGGTGAAGCAGGAGCGGGAAGTCCGAGCATCGCCCTCGGGCGGCGATTGCGTTTCTGAACTCTGCGAAAGTCGGCAGTTGCTGCATTGCACGTGTGTAGCTGCGTTTCGTCCCGGTTGCAGCGCATTGCAATACTCTCATTCCTTCCCGTGGATCTTTGTCACGTTTTCACGCGAACGAAAGAGGGCCACCGCTGGGCTTTTGGGTAGTACTTCCCACCCTTTCTCTTCACGTAAGAGGCGTAGCATTTGCCTGAGGAATACCCTCGACGCATTGTGTTCTCCCCATCCCGACTCGAGCTGCATGCGGGACGGAGTGGCATTGAGTTTGTGATTGATGCCACTCAAGTCGAGCCCCTTTCCGAAATTGCCGACCACATTTGTGTCCTCCAGATTCAGTGTTTCTTCTCCTGACTGAGTCCGGTGCATCCGATAGAGGTCATCAAGACGGGGTAAGTGTTTCCCCTCGCGTTTGCCTATGTAGGCATGAAAGTGACATGTCACTGTAAACGCAGGCCATAATTTGGTCACTGGACGTGGGGAGAAATTTGGGCAGCTGGAAATACCGGGAGTCGACCAATCACTGCCACTTTGATCGAGGTCTGAAATTTGCTCTGGAGATCGACGCTCCTTTTGGCGCACCTGTGACGCGCGCAAGATGAATTCCCTACAGTCGGAAGCATCACCTGCTCTCGTCAAGGCGAAATTAGATGACGAAGGTTTCGAGTCACCGAAGCTAGTGAACTCTTACGCATCCTTCCGCTCGGATCCTTACTCTTCTTTCCGCAGTGAATACTCATACACCTACGCGGACTGTGAAACGGAGTTTCTTCACCGGCCAAGAAGAGCAGACAATTACTACGGAATTCGTCAAGAGTACTTACGCAGCTATACATTTACCCGAGAGCAACCACCTAGCAGCAAGCCAGAGAAGTTCAAGGAGCACGTGAAAAGACTGAAGGCTGTAGCCTGGGCAATTCTCTGCTGCAAGTACAAGCCTGGCCAAGCGAAGGCATTGAGGGAGAAACTATCCAGCAGAAGCGCCCGCTTCTTTCATGGAAGCTCGGATTTCCTGAAGTCCTCCTCGTGCAGATTCACCGTTCCTAGCTGTATAAGATCGAGTATCGAAGTTGCATGAATCCGCGCGACAGAAATCCGATTTAACTGAAAATCCTTGAGGCCTGTGCTGTGGAGATGGCTTCAAGGGATGTTCAGACTAACTAACATGTAGGATACAAATTGGCCTCTTCGTCGAAGGAGCCTGCTACTATCCGCTTTTCGATCGAAGCCATGAAGCTGGCACACCCCGCGATCATTCGCAGAAATTGACTGCGAGGTGTGTGACTGGAGGGGGTGCTTGGGCTACCAACCTGCCTGCGATTTTCCACCAGTTTTGCGTGCAACTAGGAGGCAGACATTGAAAGGTCTGTCAGTAGTTCCTTTGCACCAACGGCTATAGAATGACAGTCGAAACATTTTACAGGAAGGATCCATTCTAGCTGAACCTAATGATAGACGGTTATGTCTTTCACCAATTGCAGGTGTGTAAGTGACGGAATGTTCTACCACAGTGGTTCGTGAGTCGGCTGTGCCCGACTATCCCACATGTTGATTGTCTCAAATCAGAGTCAATTGTGGATACAATTTTCGAACTTAGGCCCCGTAGATCGCATATAATTGCTGTAAATATATCTTAATGTGAGAATTATCAAGCGCGTGCATCCTTCAGTGAATGCATATTGTGAACATTTCGTCTCCTGCTTTTTTTATGAATGGAGTTTGGATCTTCAGTTCACTCGCTGGACATTCACCGAGGGATAGACGAAATCGTCATACGATTGATTAAGTCAAGTCGTCGAAAGCTTCTTAATAAGAAGAAGCTACTTACATCGTTCGTGACGTCGAATTCTGATTATTGCTGCTACTCTCTTCGGTGACAGAAACGCGTGAGACCCAACATTGTGGGGTGAAGGAGTGCAAGACAATTATATAACAGAGGAACCTGACAGTTTTGCGATCAAAGCAGCTGCAGTAAGATCGAGTAAGCTATTAACGCTTGGCTTCTGTTTCCAGTATTCACATCGTGTGAACAGGCTAGCATTATCTAGAATGACGAATCACATCTGGAGACTGTATGTTGCCCTGAAAGTTCAACTCACAATTTGCTCTTTGTATCTGAGCTCTCTACAATCTTTGACAAGTGTCAAAAGTGAGAATTCCTGTCAATTTGACGTAACTCGTTCACATCGAGTCCCTTTTTCTCCAGCTCCTATTGAGAGTGCTCATCAAGCTGGACGTCGATGCGGTGTGGTGAAAATCCCTTCCTATTTGAAATGCTTTTCCACCAAGTAATACACTAGAGTTATAGAATCTGTTCAGCCACGCTTCCTCTGTACTACGGAAAGTGCAACATCTTAACAATCTTCACTGACGTAGTCAGCGATACTGACTGTCACCCACATAATCCAGTACTTCGCCAGCCGCACTTTCAGCCAACCTCAGCTGTAGCAGATGCGCCTCCATGAGATTTTCACTGTGACTTTTCCAACTCCAGTCTGTCCACAGTGCACATTCTGAGAGAAGCGGGAACTTAAGAAACGGTGAGAAGACCGCCAATAAGAGAAATGTGGATGGGCTGATCACTCACTCTGCGCGACAAAAATGACGCACTTTTTTCCACATAAGCGCAGAATATGAGTTGTTTTCCTCTGCAATAACTGCTGCTGACACTCTTACTTCGGTGGCATAGCTGCTCCACGCAATGACTTCCATGCATGCGTGTAAATCCATGCATCTATGCCCTTTTCTACATGTCTATGCATTTTCGTTACCACATCGTATAGTGATAATGTGGAGAATAGGAGAAGTGAATTTATAGGACTCAATTAATATCAAAATAAGCGAGGTAATCTAAGAGAATATCACATGGAGTGAGGGTCTATTTCATTGCAACCAACTAGACTTATGTCACAGGCATACACATGTATGCTTTTGCATACGTCACTAGTGATAGATAATGCATGTCAAATTCTTTTGGTGTGCCCGAATATTCATGGATGGACAGTAGAAAGGTTATATGATATCACACTTTTGCATATTGTAGTAACAGGTAATAACTAAACTTACTAGTTGAAGCTAATTATAATTAGAAGATTATTACAAACTACTTTTTCAAATGCTTAGGTTGTACATTTGTGATAGATTCATACCATACTTGGAAGCAAATGTAACACGATTTGGCAGATTTTTCTTTATATTTCAGTGTAAAGGAATAAACATGAATACTTATTTCTAGGGAATACATTAGCCGGTGCAATGTATAAAAGATGATTCGTTAGATCATTTCTTTTGAATTTGCTGACTTTGAAACTTATGTGATTAGATAGTTTGACCTAGATATATCGGATATCCTACGCGATATATTTTTAATAATTATCATTATATACTTGGAGTCTATAGAGGGCATACATGATTTGATGGAGTCTTTCATTTTTGGCTATGTCAATTGGTATCATGGGGATTTATCACACTACAAAATTTTTGACCTGTAATGTTTTTTATGATAAGATTTTAAATAAAGTATCTATAAATCTCCTTGTTTTATGGAAAAGCCACTTTTACTTTCTCCTTCAACATTCTTATTACGGCAAGCGTGTGGGGCACCAGTAATCAACTGCCCGTTAATGGTTTCTGCAGCGTCAGTATTCTACAAGCTCCATAATAGAACTCGATACAACCTCCACTACCTAAATGTCGTGTAGTGAAGGTAGAGTGTTCAGTTGACAAATCAGCTAAATTGCTCTCTTGGTTTAGTGGCAGTTACAGTTCCTTAAGTTGGCCGGTTAAAGTTTCAAATCATTTCAAAGAATCTTAGATATTTATAGTACTGAAATAATAAGGAGCTCTAGAGTGATTCAGAGTACGAAGATTTGGATGGAGGGTGCGTCTAATCATCATTGTTCTACCACATTGAAATCAAGGAAGAAGGGCGTGCAGAATTCTACCCCATCACACGATTGGGTTCCTCCCCGTCACCGATATCCCCAGCGATAGTACTGCAGATTGCTGGAATATACCCTGCTAATGGCAGCTGTTTGCGAAATAAAAGCGAAGTGTTACTCTATCGATATGTGCATCTTTCATATTATCGAGGTAGAAGCAGGGCAAAGTACAATAGCGAAAAAGGATGGAGCAATACGCGATCTGCTCTCCATCTCTTGTGAAGAAGAGGAGCGAGGTATCTCTCGCTAGGGAATACAGCAAATCTGTCTGGCGTCGTTTACGCTGGCTGTTGGTAATGTGAAATGGAATCTGAAAGTTCGGACATGCTGGATCTGACAGCCTTTCTGCTGGTCTTAGACTAAGTCATTCTGACATACTTTCAGGAGGTACCTATGCTCCTGTCGAGGAACATAGGTACCTTGACAACTTAAATGAATCGACTTCATTGTAAGTTCTCCCCTCAATGCAAGGAACTCATGTACTTCATGACATCTAACCGTTACGCAGTACATGTTGCTGAGGAGGATCTTGTGAGATCCTCCACAGCAAATGCTCTTTGACTTGCATGCTGGGTTTCAAGTATGTGTGTTTTTGGACCACACCTGAAAGGTGAACGAGATACAATTCATACCCCAAGTACAAAGTAAAATGACAAATGGATGCAATTTTTATATTCAATGACAAAAAGAATTTGAAGCCCCGTTAGAGAGTGCAAAATGAAATGTATTGGCTTTAGGTCTATCATTTGGGTTGGCACAATATGAGAATATATATATATATGAAGTAAACTAACTGACAAAAAACCTGAAGTTGTAATAATATAGATATAACACGAGGTCAAGATACATACTCTTGATTTTACTATGAGTACATTGGGGAAAGAAAACTCAATCAAACTATTATTATAACACTCTTTATAACACTCTGTAACACAATATTATGCATCTTTGTTAAAATTATAAATATATACAATTTTGAACATGGGGTGAAATCCCCAAGAAGATAAATTCTGAAAGATAATTTCTCAAACTTAAAACTTGAATATGCGTAGCAGTTGTCTAAGGTATGATATATCAAATCTGATCCCAATTCACTCCGTTTTAGACAAGAGATTTAGAGCAAACCATGACAAACAAGGTTTGATACGAAGTATCTCTTTTGAGCACCAATGACGAACTAAATAAGTTACTCACTGAGAAATTAAGCAACTTTCTGCGAAATCATGAATTATATTAGTCAACATGAAGTCACATGTTTTAATTGATATATTTGATTCACATATATAATACATTATCAATTTATTGACATATATCCTACTTGATATAATTTATATAAATTATACCAAACAAAACTTGAAGATGAGATTCAATTTGTCAAGATATCATAGAGTTTGATACATACATATTGATAGAGTTATACATATCTAGTTAAAATTGCTGTCTATGAACTTTCAGTTAGAAGTAAATATTACATTTTCAGCACGCTAGATTAAATTTCTTGTATGCTATCAGAGGAAAATTATTAAAATATCTACATGGGTGTATTCTCGAGCGTAAATCTCCGATTTCCATGGCGAGTTGTTCAAGGTTTAAATTCTACCCGAGAATCTCAAAGTTTCACTCAAATATTGAAAATCTGTTGGATATAATTTTGACATTTTTGTAACAAAAATGGGGGAGAATATTATAGTAGAAGAAAAAAATTTAGTAGCTGCAAAGACTTTCATTAGCCATCGTATACCCATGTTCCTTGTGGATCGTTGGTTTCATATTATTCGAATAAATTAGCTGATATAAGCTACATATCTCCTTGTGATGATATTGGAATCGAACTTTTACTTACTGTCTTGATGGAGTTTCATGAGTACTAACTCATCACATAGCTTGTCAAAGCACGATGTATCATCCTTTTTACTTATATATCAAGATTTTTCATGCAAAAGAGAGTTGAAAATTTTCTCAAATATTCATTTACCTGAAGAAAATTCACATCTATGATTGTAGAACCCACTTTCTCTTTCGAACTTAGCTTGCTCCAGCCGATAGCCATGACTTATGATCGTACGAACTGTCCAGTACTTTGAGTATCAGATCACAAGAAAGTCAGCTATGATGCGATATGGACTCTTTGAACACCATGTAATAAATATAAGCATGTGGGATAAACTTGAAATTAAACTTCGTTAACTTGATTCTGATTATTATCTGCCCCATGGCATTCACGCAGCAATTGAGCAATAGCATCATCGGTTGAAAACTAATTCAAACGCACAAATCGCTAACATGAGTCAGATCTAGCATATTCCCTGACCAAATTTGTTTCGAATTCCAGACACCAGTGCTTGTTATTTATAATTCATCTTCTATCTATTCTTCACTTCTGACTAATCTTCCATTAAAAGTCCATGCCTCTATGTTCTTCTCGTTAGTTTGTATGATTACCCTTGTCAGATGATTATGTCGACCATTGGGTTACAGTAAGCAAAACCATTCAAGATAATAGATTCGAAAGTGTCTTGAATCAGATGTCGACTGAAAAGATTATAATATGGAACTGGGCCAGTGTTTCTTCAGCCAAGCCTTATACCTACATCCTAACCAGTTTACAATTCGACAGACTCGACCGTGAGATCCTATGGAACTCGATGTGCTAAGACATAGGAAAAAGTGACCACGTTTGCAAAAGGGCGGTGATGTTGTAGACTGTTCAACAACAATTCCCTCGGCAAACTCATGCTTCGTTTAT